CAGAAGTATCAGCAGTACCACAAGCAAGGGAATTATCTACATCAATCGCAACAGCAATGACAACCGCATTCTTGCAAATCCTTGCCCGGATGTCTTGTGTCATGCTGCGGCTTCAAGAACTGCTGTTCGAGAACACCTCCGAATCCAGGCAACGTGCACTGACCAAAAAAACATGGACACCTCGGCGGGCTGTTGCGACAGCGTATGCTGACAACATCGGGCCCCTTTGCTCGTCGAGGCTGCAGGCCATTCGCGCGTGTTCGCCATTCTGCGCTTCGGAAGTGCACTCGCAGTCGACCACGCATGCAGATGTCACGCCGCCAACGTGCAGCAGGAGCAAAGCGTAGAACCTTCTAGCATTCTGTTGCCGAGCGTTCGCGGCTGTTCTGCCTATGCGCGACACACATCCCCAATCCCCAATGCAACAACCAGACGCGGTCCCTTCTTGGCCGTTGACAGGGCGAATCGTAATAGCATCCTCCCCTCGCTTCCTGCATCTCCCTGCATTTTCGATGTGACATGCGAGCCCTGCTCTCTCCGATTGTTTGCAGCCTTGCTGGTGGAGCCGCCCACCTGCAGCAATAACCGTGCTCGCCCAACGAAGCGCAATCATGCTGACATGTGCAAGCGACGTGTTCGGTGAACACACGTTCCAAGCAGTCATTGGCCAAGACAAACGCCAGTGCCACATCTCATACAAAAAAGAAGTGTTGCACGCTGACATTGGTTAATGACAGCTTGTGGCCAACTTCGGTGTGTTGGAACATGCCCCCCCCCAGTGAGATGTCGGTTGCGATCATCTCTAGATGTGCTCATCTCTGTTCGTTCGTTGTCCCAAGATGGCGACGCACGTCCGGGGCAGAACAAGAAGGCAGGAGTTGCGGCCAGAGCCCTTGAGACCCAAATCCCATGGGAGCGGTAAAGGCTGATTCTAAGCCTGACCGCAGTGACCTTGCGCCCCAGGATTACGTCGGGCATGTCCCCCTGCAGGCGGATGTTGGACGAATGCTAAATAGTCAAAACGTATTCCAAAATGGTGAAGGTAGTAACAAACGCTCCCTGACTATTGTTTGACTATTTGTGGATTTTCCTTCTGTAGAGTGACAGGCCCGACTTAATTCTAAGCCTGAGCGCAATGGCCCGAGCGCTTTTTTGGCTCGACCCAAGCGCCCTGGCCGGAGGGCACCGCACTGCGAATGCAATGCATGTGTTCGTTGTTCTCTATCGCTCTCTCTCCTCCTCCTCCTCCTCCTCCTCCTCCTCCTCCTCCTCCTCCTCCTCCTCCTCCTCCTCCTCCTCCTCCTCCTCCTCCTCCTCCTCCTCCTCCTCTGTCCTGTTTAGCCGGCGCGCTGGGCCCAGGGCGCGAGGTGCAGTAGGTCCGCCGACCCTGTCGGCATGTGTGCAAGGGAGCTCTGGGTCTGTCGTCCCTGGGGGGGGGCCGCCATGGCGGTGTTTTATGTCCGATTTTCTCTGAGTGGGAATGGGGGATCTCTCCCGAGGCCCTCTGTGGCGCGCCAAGCTCGTCAACTCGCCGTGAATCGAGCCAGGTCGCCGTCGCAGTCGCAACCAGATCGAAGGCGAACCCCTCCCCTTGGATTGGAAGAAGCAATTGACACGCCGTAGACGTAAACTTTTGGCGCTCCGCGCGGGTTCCTTGGATCCGCGCAAGACCCGCCCTCCCTGGCGAGCCCAGAGTCGCCAAAAGATCGCTCCAGGCCGCCCAAGATAGCCTCCATCCAGGCGGCTCAAGACTCCTCCAATACACTCCATATTGTCTTTTTGAGCGCTCCCAGGAGGGCCGCAAGAGGCACACTGCTATCAGACTCCCACAGGTTCTGGAACGATGTTCGCATTCCTTCTTCTTCTTCTTCTTCTTCTTTCGGCATCCCGACGCTCCACTACGGCCCGCGAGGTCTAACACATTGCCCCAAACCTGCCGCAGAGGCCCTCCAGAGGGCGCCGATGCTGCCCCCAAAAAACCAGCCCAACGCGGCCCGAGCGGCCTCCAAGCCGGCCCGAGAGAGGGCCCCCCAAAAGCGGCCCCCCGGAGAGGCGCAGGGCGCGAGCACGCGCCGACGTTCCGACCTTCCCCGCCCCACGGCGCTCCCGGGAGGCCCCAGGAGACCTCCGAGAGGCCCCGCGCAGCTCCGAGGGCCCCCCGAAAGAGCCCCCAGGGTCCCCCACGACGTCGCCAAGAGGCTCCCGACGGGCCCGAAGGGCTCCCAGAAGGTCGCCTGTCAGCGATCTTCGCCAAGCCGTTCCATAGTGTTGGCATTCTTGCCCTTTCGGGCTCCCGACGGCCTCGCAGAGCCCAGACAGCCTCCAAAGCAACGCCCAGTCAGCCCACGAAGCCACGAGTGCACCCACACAGTTCCCAGACGATTCAAAGTGGCCTTTATATCGGCTAGCCTGGCCCAGGATACATTCCGAGACGGCCAATGTCGTTGTCAAGAGACAGCCAAGTGGCTTCCAGCATGGCCAGGATGGCGATGTCGCGCAACCGAGAAGATCCACGATGCCCTCAACGCAAGCGGGGATGATCCGAGAACACCGAAGACGGCCGCGCGATTGCCTCGCAGTAGCCTTGCAGCCGTGGACCCTCAGAGGCATGCGGAAACCACAAAGGCCTCCCAAGAAACTCTTCCTCCTCCTCCTCCTCCTCCGCCTTGGTCTCCTCCTCCTCCTCCTCCCTGGTCTCCTCCTCGCTTCCCTCCCCCTCCCTTCTCCCCCTCCTCCTCCTCCTCCTCCTCCTCCTCCTCCTCCTCCTCCTCCCCCTCCTCCTCCTCCTCCTCCCCCTCCTCCTCCTCCTCCTCCTCGCTCCCCTCCGCAGAAGGCGGCCCGAGCCACCCCCGCACCCACCGCATCACATGTCATATATGTGCAAAGCTTCTCTCTCTCTCGAGCCCGAGGCCCGACGACCGTCGCCGGCTGCACGTGCAACAAAAGGAGGCCCCTGGCAGCTTGCGAGAAAAACGCAGCCGCCGAGGGCCAGGAACACACATCGTTACTCCAGATTTCGTAATAAAGGGAGGGGGGTCTCATTTCGGGGGGGGGTCTCTTCCAGGCTATCTTGGAGGGCCTGGGGGGGGGTCTGGGGGCGATGTTTTGGGGGGTTCTCCCACGGGGGGGGTCTGAAATGGCTTGTCTTGGAGGGTCCAGACCCCCTCCCTTTTATTACGAAATCTGGAGTATACGACCAATTCAAGAAACGTCCATAACTTTCTTATACCAGAATGCCGCGCACGAAATTGCCTGGGGCATTGCTCAAACCGCGCCCTCGCGCACGTGCAACGGCGCAGTTTCATCAACGCAGAAACGCGTTTATATAACACGAATTTATCATTCAAGCGAAAACAATTATACAAAGACTTGTAAACCAGAAGCGTCGCGAGTTGCAGTCGACGCCGTGGGGACGTGTCGACTAAGTTCATAATCATTATGGTGGGTGTGGTGGTGGGTTGTTCTCTCTTGGTCCTCCTCCTCCTCCTCCTTGTTCGATTGTCTTTCGAAGAATTCGGCACCACGGGACCCTCGAATAGCACGCTCGGACAACTTCTGGGATCCCGGCAACCTTTCCAGACACCTCCGAACACCTCCTGCATCATGAGGTTCATCTTCCAGGGTAGGCGGCACCGGCCGTGAGGCCTCTCCAATATCAACCAACCCGTGGCCAAGATAGACATAGCAATCAATTTGGGGCTGGTGGAATTTTGAGGGCAGTCAGTCCCTTCGCGGCGGAGTCACGCGTCCATGGAACACGATGGGCTTCCCGCACCGTGCTCGGCCCCCAGAAGCGTTCCAACGCAACGCCTGACGGCCACGAGGCGTGGCCTGGCAGCCCCAAGGAGTGCACGGGAGGTCATCTGACAGGAACCTCTGGAGCAAACGTGCATTGGCGATGTCAGAATAACGGCCCGAAAGACCTCGATTTAGGTCGGGCATGTCGTCCTACAGGCGGATTTTTGACGAATGTAAAACATGTCAAACAAATGTTCAAAACTTATCAAAACATAATCGAAAAATCGTCCCCACCCTATTGTTGAGCATGTTTGAATATTCCTCCTGTAGAGGGATATGCACGACTTAATCCTAGATGTAACCACCTATCGACTTCCGTTCGCTAGGTGGGAACGCGTTACAGTCCCAGTGTCAAGGTGTGCCACCATTGCTGCCTATGTCATGGAAGGGAGGGTGGGAATGGGCAGGGCCCCTTCCCCTCCACCTGCCTTTCCTCCCAGCCCCTCCTCCTCTCGTCCCCACGCCCGCTCATCCTCCCCCCCTCCACCTTCGCCTGGCCACGACCCCCCCCATCATCCCCCTCTATCTCCAGCTCCCCCCCCCTCCCTCCTCCCGCCCCCTCCTCCTCCTCCCTCCTCCTCTCCTCCTCCTCCTCCTCTCCTCCTCGTCCTCCCTCCTCCTCCTCCTCCTCGCCCTCCTCCTCCTCCTCCTCCTCCTCCTCCTCCTCCTCCCTCACCCCCACCCATTCCCGCCGCACTCCCCCCCCCCGCCCTGCTCCCCCTTGGCTCACGAGGTGCCCGCCCCTCCCCTCCCCCAGGCGGTTGAAGTCGTCCTCCCTCTCCTCCACGGGCTCGATGGCGAAAACGGTGGCAGGGTCTCGCGCACGTGGGGGTCGAGAGGCAACAAAACAGAATTCGAAGCATGTGAAACAGCTGGCGTGCGATGTTCAATAAACAAAGAATGTGCGCTGTGTATAATACCACAAGCTCACACATTCGTGCACACACGCCGATACTCCATCATGACATGACAAGCTTGCAATTAAAAGTCACACCGAGGGAGGGTAAGGGAGAATGAGCGGTGGATGAATGGCGGCGGAAGAGGAGAGGCGCGGGCGATCCGCTCTTCGGCCACAGCTCGAGCAGCAGACCGATATCAGGCTTTTCGATCGTGATGCTGCATAATATGGCACGCATGATAAATCTCTGCAACTGCTCCGAATCTCGAGATCAAGTCGAAGAACCGAGCATGTGCCCAGCACAATTCCAGAGCCATTCGTTTTCAAACGAGGGGGGCGAAACGGGGGGCGGGGGGCTTGGAAGGAAAAAGGGAAGAAAGACGCAGACATCGATGCACACGTGCATCTGCATCCGCCACCGTGCCTCTGGGCACGGAGCGGGCGCGTCCTCAAGTCCCTTGCCTCCTCCATCGAGCCGCAGTCCTCAGCCCCGAAGAACCTTCGAGGGCCCGAGCCCCAGACTCCGAAATGTCTTAGGGCTTCTCGAGTGCCCTCCGGGCTCCGGCGCGTCTCCCCGCGTGACTTTTGGAGCCCAATGGGGCCCCCGAGCGATCGCTCCGACGCGCTCGAGATGGCCCCAAACTGGCCCAGGAGGCCTCCGAGGCGCTCCAAAGAGGCTTCCCGAGGGGAGACCCAGGAGGCACACGTCATTCATTGATCTGCTTTTTGGTTTCTAGGCGATTTTCGGCGTTCCCGCCTTGTCGGCTTCCCCACGCCCCAAAACGGCCCAAGAGTGGGGACCCAAAGAATATACACCACCGCCACGTCGATTCCTCCTCTCTCCTCTGTCCAGCGAGAGGGAGGGGGGCAGGGAGGTGGTGGTGGTGTATATTTTTTGGCCCCCCAAAGAGGCCCCAAAGATAACCCCAAGCTGGCCAAAGGGCATCCAAGAGGACTCCAACACGGCCAAAGAGCGCCGCACGGCGGGCGACGAGCCCCGAGGCGGCCCCCACAGGGGCCCCAAAGAGAAAGCACGAGACGAAACTCCGAGCCTTCCGGGCGCAGCCCGCGCGCGGTCGGCGTCCCCGTTTGGGCAAACCCCTCGCGCGCTTCGTGGCCCCGTAGGGAGCTCCAATCACGGCCCAAGTGGCGCAGCCCGCATGTGGGCGGAGGAGGCGGGGGAGGCGGACGCGACGAGCATTGTCAGCTGCGAATTGTCGAGGCGTTTAATATTACAGTATTTGTTCCCAGAACAAGTTTCCTGTAATGTAATGGGCGCGCGTGCGGGTGCGGTTGGGAATTGGGGGTTCTACGAAAGAACATGGAAAGGAGTTGGGGAGGATTTTGGAATTTGGGAGGATTCTACACAAGAAAGCAAAGGAGTAAGGGAGGATTTGGGAATTGGGGGGGGTTCTACAAATGGGGTTGGGGGTGGATCTGGGATTTGGAAAGGATTCTACAAAAGGAAAAAAGGAGAAATTGGGGAGGATTTGGGAACTGGGCAGGATTCTACAAAAGAAAATGACAGGAGTTGGGGAGGATTCGGGAATTGGGGAGGATTCTACAAAAGGAGAAAGGAGGAGTTGGGGGGATTTGGGAATATAGGGGGGATTCCACAGATGGGTTGGGGAGGATTTGGGACTTGGGGAGGATTCTACAAAAGGAAAAAAAGAGGAGCTGGGGAGGATTTGGGAATTGGTGAGGATTCCACCAAAGGGAGAATGAGGAGTTGGGGAGGATTTAGGAGTTGGGGAGGGTTCTACAAAGGAAAAAGGATGAGTTGGGCAGGATTTGGGAATTGGGGAGGATTCTACAAGCCAAGCTTATCTGCGAGGTATGCCGACGTGAGTGCGCTTCTGCGGGAATCGCGACAAACCTCTTGCCGGCGCGCGTGTCTGCCGTGCGCCGACGCATGTGGGATGCCCTCGCGTTATGCGCATGGGCGGTGTCTTCTGGGCCTCCTGTGGTCAGCGCTGCCAGCAGAAAACAATGAGTTGTGCTCGGCGACAAAGCACAGGGCCAAGAAACGGCGGCGGTTCGGCGACATCGCGTTGAAGATCCGCGCGTCGCGCCGGAACCGGGTGAAGCACTGCTTTGCCATCTGAACATTAACTCCGCTGACGCGCAGCTTCCAGCGATGGATGTGCAGCGGGTTGCGCGCGCAGGAGGCCCCGTGCATATGTGCGTGCAGCTTGCCGGCGCTCCAATATTTGATCTTTTCGAGCTGCTCCTCTGGCGACGCCGATGGCATCGCCGAGCGCACTCTGCTGCACATGAAACATTTGACCTTCGGATACTGTGGGAATAGACTTGATCACGTCGTTGCCCTCTGGCGCGGCCGGCTCGGTCACGGCCGCCCGTTGTGGCGCAAAGACCTGGGAACTTTTAGGGGAACAAATAATGACATAAACATAAAAACTCGGAGGTCCGCGCGGATTTCTCGGATCGGCGCTGGAACCCCCCTCCCTGGCGCGCGGAGCGCGCCAGGGGCGGCGCCGCCGGGGGGTCCCAGCGCCGATCCGAGAAATCTGCGCGGACCTCCGAGTTTTTATGTTTATGTCACTTTTTGTTCCCCGAACTTTGCGCTTCGTGCCAGCCTTGGTCGCCGTGGGCTTCCTGAGCACGGAGGCCCCCATCGCGGAGAGCTCAAGCCTGGCGCAAGTCGTCGAGGCGGCGGGCTTCTTTGGCGCTTTGCCCGCGGGCTGGCCACGGCCGCCGCTTGCAGCGCGCCGAGGCCTTCTTGAGGTGTAACGTATTGGACGGCTTGGCACCGCCTGCTGCCGCCCCACTTTGTCGAAATTCCCACCAGAGCTGATGCAACAATGCGAATGCGAATGCTCCCTGCGGATCAATGGAGAGGCGCCCGCGTGACAGAGCCCATGTTTTTCGAAACGCGTGAAGATCCGCACGCGGAGTGGCTGCGTGTAAGAATGCCCTCGTGGCGTCCCTTGCACGGATGTTGTTTCGGAATCGGATCCACATTGGTTGGGCGACCTCACGGCGGCGCGCCTGCGTGTAGACCCTGCCCGCATTGCAATGGTGCCCACCTTCCACCGCAATCCAACGGCTAGAAGGGCATCAGTGCTCGCAGTGGACGCAATATCTTTTGACGTCCACGGCGACGCCGCCTGCCAGTCCAGCGACGCAGGTGATTGGAACCCGAACCTGGCGGACGTCGAGCTGACCGCTGAACGCATAGATCTCTAACTCAGAACGGCAACGTACTGAGCGTGCGGCACCCAAGAGGGCTCTGGAAATCAAAGGAAGGGCCACAAAACGAAGACCACGCCGACGACGACGACGACGACGACAACGGCGGCAGCGAAATGCTGCCACCCTGGAGGTCCCCAGAGGCCCAACAATGGCCGAAAACGACGACTACGTCGACGACGACGACGACGACGACGACGGCGCCAACGACGACGACGAGGGTGGCAGCAACATGCTGCCACCCTGGAGGTCTCCAGAGGCCCCGCGAAGGGCCGAAAACGTCGTCGACGACGACGACGACGAGGGCTGCAGCGAAATGCCGCCACCCTGGAGGTCTCAAGAAGCCCAATGCAGGGCCATCAATGAAGATGTCGGCGACGACGACGACGCCGGGCGGAAACAAACGGCGAGGGCGGCAGCGAACCCACGAGGTCTTCATCGGCCCAGCAAGGTGCCCAAAATGACGATGACGACGACCGCGACGACGACGACGACGACGACTATGACGAAACGGGCAGCTAAACGCTGCCACCCTGGAGGCCTTCAGAGGCTCAACAAAAGGCCAACAATGACGACGACGACGATGGGTGGCAGCAACCGTCGAAGGTTGTAGCACAATGCTGCCACCCTGGAAATCTCCAGAGGCCCAACAATGGTGGAACCATCCTATTTGTGGAGCGCTTGAAGCTCAATGTGCACTTCGACCTCGTCACTTCCGCGGGCAACTGAGATAACATTGTTTTGTACACTTGTAGACCTCCCGCGGATGCCACGTTGGACCGCAATGGGTAGCGTGTCATCGCGCAAATATGACACCATCCCCATGCTGGCCTCATCGTGCCCGTGCTTCAAATGGTGCGGATCAATCTCTCGTCGTCGCCCGCGTGCGCGAAGCAGCGGAGGCTTCGCAACCAGACCCGTCAATTGTTTACGATTCGTACCTTCGATCGCTTCCACCATGGCATCTCGAACTGCCCCGAGTGTGACGCGCGATGCATTGCCTGTTTCCGGCGCAGGAACATCGCGGCCCCATCAGCACAAGCAACAAGCGTTGGATTCGACCGGCCAGCTTGCTGCTGCTACCTCCGAGCCATTTTCTCACAGGTGAGCCTAGCGCTTCCTCTTTCCTCCTGCGTGCGCGCTGCAGGGATTTCGCTGTAGCTGCATTGCCCGAAACTGTCCGTTTCTGGCCGCGGGGCGTGGGCGGGTCGGAGTTTCGGAGCTGCTATGTTGTTGATGACATCAGCATGATCCCCTCCGTGAGGCAGTTGCCCGATGCATTGCTCCAGCTCCCCCAACGCGGGCATCGCCTTGGAGAGACACAGCGCGACTGCTGCCATCGGGGCGAGCTAGTGCATCTGCGCGGGCAGCATGGGCCACAAATGATGATGGACTGGCGCTGGCGTGCGTAAGACGATATGGCGGTCGACTCGCGTTGGAAAGAGTCGTAACAACGATCGACGTCGTCGCGGCGCTCGTCGTCGTCGAGCGTCCTCCCAGGGGGAGAGAAGAGAAGCGGGGAGGGGAGCGGAAGCGATGGGGTGAGGGGGGGGGCAGGGAAGGGGGTGGACAAGCTGAGGGGAAGGAACACAAGGAGGAAGGCAGGAAGGAAAATACGTCAGTGCAAGCTCATTTTTCCACGACACCTGTGCCCCTGACCCGAGACGGCAGAGCGGGCACACGCATCGACCGACGACTGAAGAACCGATGTGCGATGCACGAGTTGGTACATCCTGCGTTGCAACCAATGTCGATTACAATCGCGAGACAGCTCCGGGCATGCAAAATGGCTCTCGGACAGAGGCGACGACGGACGCGGGACAGGCAAGAGGGAAAGGATACAAAGGCAAACCATGGTGCGACGACGCGTGATTCAAACAAATGCTTCGCGCTGCTGCCTGGCCACTCGAGGTGTCGGCCCGAAAGCGATCTGTCCGCCAGTGGATCGTTCCAAGAAGGATCATACCAGAAGAAACGATGGACTGTCTTACCAAGAAATGTCTTACCAGATGGCCCCGACGACCGTCCTGGGCCCCTGTTGGGCGCCTCCTCGGCCGTCTTGGAGGCCCTGAAGGGCAGCCCAAAAGGCCAAGCTCGTTATTAGTTTTGCCTGGTTTGAAATCTGGTTCTTCTTAGATATGCCCTGGGCGTTTTTGCTTTTTTCAGTTTTCAACTCGGCGTGTTTGAATTCATTTCCCTCTCCGGACCTGCTCCACCTCCCGCTCTTCCTCCTCCTCCCCCAGGCATGCGACGTCCTGGTTTTTGTCAATGCGGGGTCCCTGGACGCCCCGACCCTTTCCCTGGGACCGGCGTTTCATCCTGCGTCGTTGTCTGACGGACCCGCGGCCCGGCGAGGGCCCCCCGAGGCCGAAGTTGGGAAGAAACCTCGCGCCCTGATTCTTTTCACGACGCGATCATGTCTGGGCCTGCTCCTCCTGCTCCTCCTCCTCCTCCTCTTCCTCCTCCTCCTCCTCCCACGAGGCATCCTCCTCCCCCAGGACGCCCACCCCCCGGGACCAGGGGCCAATGCCGGCAGGCGCCGCGCGGCGCCTCCCTCCGCGTCGCCCTCGACGAAGCCGGTGCGGTCCTCGAGCCGCCACGGGCGACCCCGCCCCCCCCCCCCCCCTGGTGGGGGAGGAGGAGAGGAGGGCGGCAGGAGGATCTCTGGGAGGTGGGAGGGGGAGGAGGGAGGGAGGGAGGGGAGGAGGGGAGGAGGGGAGGGAGGCAGGGAGGAGGGGAGGAGGGGGGGAGGGGGGGAGGAGGGGGGGAGGGGAGGGGGGGAGGGAGGGAGGAGGGGGGGACGGGGTGGGGTTCGCCACCCACCGCCAAGGTCCAGGGTCTGGTGGGCTGGCCCGCGCGGTGGCGCGCCGGATCCGTAGTTGGGGCGTTCGTCGGTCTACAAGCATTGTGCGTACTTTTTTTGCAGATCTGGCGAACATGTCAGCTCGACAGATCTCGCATGCGAGTGTGCTTTTTTGCAGATCTGGCGAACATGCAGATCTGGGGTAACTGGAAAGCAATTCAGTAGTCGTGGCCCTAGTCGACCCCTGGCAAACTCCAAGCGACTCCAACAAATCCAGACGGCCGGCTTTGCGCCCTTCGAGCGGATGCTGGCGTGGGGGGGGTCTATGGACGAGCCTCGTCGAGGGGCCACAGAGCGGCCCCAAAGCGGTACCAACAGTGGCTCTTGCATGTTGCTCGAGTATTTCTGTATGTGTTTTCTTTGTTTCGTTTTCTTTCTTTCCTTCGTCCGAAGAGGTGGATGGACACGAGGGCGTGTTTCGACCGTTCGCAGGCCAGCGCGCCGCACGACGCGGCGACACGGCGGGCGAAGCGTGCCCGCCGCGCAGGCAGCGGCGCCCCGAGATTGCAGAGAGGGCACCCGGGCAGCTCTGCTCGGGCGCAGGCCGACACGGGTTAGGGTTCCGTTGTCTCCTCCCTCCTCCCTCCTCCCTCCCCCCTCCCCCCTCCTCCCTTCCCCCTCCTCCCTCCTCCCTCCTCCCTCCTCCCTCCTCCCTCCCTCCTCCCTCTTCCCACCCGACTTAAGGACCACATCCCAGAGATAATTGCGAGCACCCGGAAAAAATGTCAAAGGGTTTCGAGACAGTGTCGAAACAGTGTCGGGCGAGTGTCTCCCAGGGCCCGACACGTGAAAACCCTTGAGTTTCGGTACTTTTTTGGTGCTCGAAATTCTCTCTGGTGATCAAGGCGAAAGTAGGTTGGAGCACCATAAGATTAGTGTTAGGTCGGGCCTGTCCCCTTACAGGGGGATTATGTACGAAAAATAAAGACTCCCCCAAACATACCCCCCAACAACTGCCCCAAAATGCTAGAAAGATCGTCCCCATACTATTTTTCCGCTATTCTATAATATTCCTCCTGTAGAGGGACAAGCCCGACTTAAGGTTAGTGATCCGGAGATCTGGTGCGTGGGCGCCAGATCCATGGATCGGGGAAGGTGCCCCTGACACACGAAGCCCATGCCGCCTCATCTGGCCACACCGCCCGCCGATGTCGCACGGAAATGGGACCCGTCGCGCTCATCCACGCGCCCTGATCCATGTCAGCGCTCCCTCGATCTGTGGGGGGCAACAGGGAAACGCAGACCGGTGATTGGGCAACAATGGCTTTCCCAATTGGCCCTCTCCCCCGTCCGTCGCCGTCTGCCCGAGCCATCCTGAACCTCGGGAAGCGGGCGCCGAGACTCTCAACACAGACGGCCTGGAGGGAGAGAGAGAGAGAGGGACGGGCCCCGTGATTAGGCACATGCCCCCGACGTCACGATGTCGTCTCGACGTGCCCCCACCCTCCCCCCGGAGGCCTCGACCCCTCCCCCTGGATCAGTCTTGAGTCCTGGGGCCCAGCAATGGCCCCCAGGCCGACAAAGGGCCTCGCACGACGGGAAGGGGTCTGGAGGGTAAGGGTTCCCACGTCTTGGCGGCGCGCACAAGGGGGTAGGGGGAGGGGGAAGGCTTCTCAGAAGCAGGCTGCTTCTTAGAAGGCGCTGGCCGTACATCTACAGAAGAAGAAGAAGGCCCGCACCTTCTAAGAGGCAAGGGTGCTCCTAAGACGCCCTCCCCCCTCCCCCCGCCCCCCTCTGCGCGTGGCTGAACGCCACAAGACCACCGCGTCGTGCGAGGCCCAGGCCTCTGGCGCCCACGGCGAGCAAGCCATACAAGGCGCACTCGAGAAGCTACGCCGGACGCTTCGCCGAATGACCTCGATCGCCGATCCGTGCTCTCGGTGAACATGATCGCTGCCCTCCCGCATCCCGCCCCCTTCCATGCCAATACCTTCCCCAAGTCTTGTTCGTTTCGTCCCGGACCGATGCTGCAGGTCCCAGAAACCAGACGCGGGTCCCGGAGGCCGAAAGTGCATGGCGAAAAACCGTCGCGAACATCCGTCGTCCTCTTTCCGGTGTGCGACGTCGGAAATCTGGGATCTCCTCCCGTGCCCCTTCCCCGAACTCCGCCCCCTCTTCCCTCCTCGGTGACCCGGAGGAACTGGCCCTTGTTGTTCTTGATGCGGACGTGCTGCCCTGTGGCAACCCCTTGCTTCAGCAGCTGGGCGTCCTGGCTCGCAACTAGGCAGGGACAGCAGGAGGGGAAACTATGAGACAGTAGGAGGAGGGACGGATGGACGGAGGAGGAGGGGGAGGAGGGAGGACCCGTGCAAACCAAAGACTCCAAACCCTCCCTCTTCGCAGTCCCCTGCAAGGGTTCACTTCCACTGAGGGATCCGCCTCGTTGGGAGACAACCCATTGAAGACCCTGAAGAGCGCCAATACATCATTCCCGGGACCCCGACGCCACGAATCAGCATGACTGTTGTGCCCTGGCGATCCAGAATCGTGCCAGAACACCATTCCTGTGACTTCAACCCCGCGAATCAACAGAGCTGTTGCGCCCTCTCAATCCTGAATCCCTCCAACACACAATTCTTGGAACGTTGACCATGAAAATCCGTGAAGCTCTTGCACGTTTGAAAAACGAATGTGCGCGGCGCTAGGGCGGGAACAATACTGTCAAAAAGAACCACCCGCCCTCAATCCGCCAACTTCTTGCGTTTCGTGAAACGAATATGCGCGGCGCAGAAACGAGAACCGCGTTTAGAGAACGAACCGGCATCAATCCGCGAAACTCTTCTACGTATGAATGAAGGTGTGCGGCGCTAAGTCGAGAACTACATGTTGAAAACGACCCGCCCTCAATCTGCACAACTCTTTCAAATTGCTTAAAACGAATGTGCGCGGCGCGAAAACGAGAACCGCATGTTGAGAACGACCCGCCCTCAATCCGTGAAAACCTTGCACAGTTTGAAACGAATGCGCGCGGCGCTACGGCGAGAACCACATGTTGAAAACGACCCGCCCTCAATCCGTGCAGCTTTTGCAGATTTTAACGACTGCGCGCGGCGCTGAAGCGAGAACCACATGTTGAAAACCATCCGCTCCCAATCCGCGAACTTTCGTGCTAATGCGAGAGCCACATTTTGAAAACAACCCGCCCTCCCTCTGTTAAACTTTTGCCAATGTTCAAGCTTCAGGGTCATAGATGGTGAGGGGCTCTCAGGCGAAACGCCCGGCCCGTCCTTTCGACCGGCCTCGGGTTGCGACAGGGATGAGTTTTTATTTTAACAGGAAAAAGGGTTGGAGGAGAGGAGGCAGAGGATGGGGAGGAGACCGCGAACCTCGAGCATGAAAACAGAAACGTCCCGTCGGAAAGCTGGGGAACCACACATTTGAGGTAAACCACCGACCCAGAGGTCGTGGAAGCCTCTGGGAAAGGCTAGTACGCAAGTCAGGGCTGTGCTGCAGCGACGCGGAGGCGGACGAATTAGAGGAGAAGGAAGAGGGGAAGGAGGAAACGGAGCTTACTGAACACGCTGGTGGCATTGAGTGCGCGGCGGAGTGGTGGGAGTGGGTAAGGGGGGGGGAGGGGATGGAGGGGAGGGGACATGAATGGTGGAATGGGGCCCCTCGAACCTCAGAAGCCCTAGAATGCATGTGAACTATGGGAGCCGTCGAGAAGCCCCTCCTCCACCTCCCCCGCTCAGACCCGCCTTCTCCTCCTCCAGAGCCATCTGGATATCTCATCGGAGGTCTCCAGAGGTCCTGGGAGGAAGCGTCAGGAAGCCTCCCAAAAGGGAGCCGAACCCATGCATACACAGTGAGCCTTCTCCCTGCCCTCCTGCGGCGTCCCCCGTGTGGAGCGTGCTCAAAGACAGCCCCCAGCCGGGAACAGGGATGCAGGAACAAAGGCTGCAATTCACTCTCGCGTCGCAAGCCCCCTCTTCATCAGCCCCTGCAAAGCAATTCTTGCCACCGTGCGGAACGGCCCCTCCTTGAAAGACTATATATATATACATATATATACACACCACTCTCTATACTTTCTTCTGCGCATGTGTGCATACATAAACGAATTTTCTCTTTCTCTCTCGCTCTCTCTCTTTCGACTCCGTCTCTCTCAGTCTTCCTTTTGTATAATCGGACGTTGAGGGGTGAGATCGCAAAAGAACGGGGAGTCCCCCAACGGGACATCGGTTTGGGTTGCGTGCGGGCGAGACGACGTGGGCGCGCGAGAAGAATGATGCCGCGTTGGCTTGGGGCTGTGAAGCCGGTTGTCCGCCCCTCCCCCTCCGGCGCGCGGTGGCTGGGGGTGTCCCGTTGGTGTCCCGTCGGTGGCGCGTCGGTGACCCGTGTCCCAAAGCAGGGCGGCGCGAGTCAGTGCCCAGAAGCAGGGCGGCAAGATCGGTAGTGAGATCGTTTGGAAGATCGATCGTGAGATCCTTTGTGAGATCGATCGTGAGATCTGTCGTGAGATGACAAGCAAGAACACTTATCGCGACCACCATATCATCGCGCGTCGCCGCCAACCCGAGGGCGCATCACCGGCATCGTCATCATCGCAACCACCAAGATTGCCATCCGAGGTTTGGAGATGAGATCGTAATGAAACGGAGAACCCCCCCAACCAAGAAATCGGCTTCGGCTTCGTGTTCGTGTCGTGCGAGTGGGCGAGGCGGAGCTGCGTGGGCGCGCGAGAGGAACGATGCCGCCGTGATCGGGGGCTGTGGAGTCGGTTGTCCCCCCTCCCCGGCGCGCGGTGGCCGGGGGTGTCCCGTCGGTGGCGCGTCGGTGTCCCGTCGGTGTTCCGTGTCCCGGAGCAGGGCGGCGCGAGTCGGTGTCCCGAAGCAGGGCGGCGAGATCGATAGTGAGATCGTTTGGGGGATCGATCGTGAGATCTGTTGTGGGATGACAAACAACAACACTCATCGCGACCACCAAGACTGCCATCCGTTGGTGTTTCCCCTCAGCCACCTTATGACACGAAGGGCTGACGGTTTGGTTTTCTCTTTCTTTCTCCCTCTCTCTATATCTGAGGCCGGGGAATGAGATCGCAGTGAAACGGAGAACCCCCCCAACCAGGAAATCGGTTTCGGTTCGTGTTCGTGTCGTGCGTGTGGGCGAGGCGAAGCTGCGTGGGCGGGCGAGAGGAATGAACCCGCCGTTGCCAGGGCGAAGCCGAGCCAAACTTTGCAGCCCCCCGGGTTGGTCGGCAATGACCCTGTGGTGTCCCGATGTTGTCCCGATGGTGTCAAGATGGTGTCCCGTGGTCTCCTGTGGCACGGGGATGTCTCGTGCTGTGCTGTGTGATCGATGGTGGGATCGATCGCGTGATCGGTCTCACCAACGCTGTGCAATCGTGGGTTCGATCGTATGGTCGATAGTGAAATCGACAGTGAGATCGATTGAGTGACATGGACAGTAAGATCGAGAGAGATCTCGATCGTGAGATCGATAGTGAGATCGAGGGTGAGATCGATAGTGAGATTGATTGTGGGATCGGTAGTGAGATAGACTGTGAGATCGGAAGTGAGATCAATAGTGCGACCGATAGTCATGTCATCGATCGTGATATCGACCGTGACATCGATAGTGAGACCGATAGTGGGATCCATCGTGAGATCTATCGGGAGATGGATAGTGGCATCGATAATGATATCGATAGTGGCATCAACAATGTAATCGATAGTAAGATCGATAACGAGATCGACATTGATATTGATTATGAGATCGGCAATGACATCGATTGAATGAGATGGATGGTGAGATCGATACTGAGATTGACCGGGAACCTGGGAAACGGGGAACCAGAAACTGAACCCTGGGAACCCCGCCGCTCACCGAAAACGATCTGGAATCAACAACCGAACCCCGGGATCCCGGGGACCCGGTCGCTTAACGAAATCGGCCAGCAACGTTCGACAAGTCTTTGGCTTTCCGCTAGGGCTCTTTCATTGAACGCAACGGTTGGGGAAAAAAGGGGATGCACGACGGCATGCACATGCAAGAGCAAGCAAGGATGTGCATACACAAATAGGGAAAAGAACTCTATACACCGACGCTCTTCCCGACCCTGCGCTGAAATTCCCACAGGAACGCGGATTCTGGTGTATACCGGATCCTGGTGTATACATTCTTCGTTGCTTGCCTTGGAAAGCGGGGGACAAGTATACACCACACCACCCCGACGTCGTCCCTGACCATTCAAAAGTCGTGGGATTGAAAAACAACCCGCCACTGGTAATGTATATGCTCCAGTTAGTCAGCAAACACACACACACACACACACACCCACACGAAGGAAGGCAGCAGCCAGCCGACCCCTCTGGCAGCCTTCTTACAGCTACACAATGTACCCTCCAGGCACGCTGCGGCCAATGGCAGGAGCAGGACAAGGGCGAGAAGGGCGAGGAAGACGAGAAGCACGAGGAGCGTCGAAATTGCCGATGTATTGGTTCATAGTTTTTTCTAGAAGGGGGTGTCTTGAGGCCTGCAGAGGCCTCCAGGGATCTCCAGGGGCTCCCTCAAGGATGTCTCCGGAGAGGAGAGAGAGGAGGACAGCGACGAAGACGAGGAGGAGGAAGAAGACCCGACCCCGAGGCTGTCCAGGCCGCTGTCCGCGGGCACGAATGTCCACTCGCTGTTTGCGTCGTTCACCGTGCCCGCCGAGTCCGCAACGTCGTCCTGGGCTTGCTCCATTCAAGAAGCCCTCCGTCCGAGCGCAAGACGACATCCACCGTACCAGTCCCTGCTGAATGACCCCGGCTGCTGTAGGCGGCGGTCCGTTGTATTCGACGCGGGGGGGGGGGCGAGACAGACGACGGTTCTGCGTTCTCCTCCTCCTCCTCCTCCTGCTCCTGGTGCTCCTGCTCCTCGTCGTCCTGCATCTCGTCCTCCTGCTCCTCCTCCTCCTCCTGCTGCTCCTCCTGCTCCTCGTCCTCCTGCTCATCGTCCTCCTCCTGCTGCTCCTCGTCCTCCTCCTGCTCCCCGTCCCTGGTCGCCGCGAGTGATAAGCGACACAAGTCCCCCCCATAACCCTCTGGGAGGGGACCCAAGCTGGGAGGGCCAAGAGTTAGGAATAAGGGGCCTCTCTCTGCGTACGTATCAGACCGAGCCGCTTAGCTCTGTTACCACCCGTGCAAAGACGGGGACCTTAAGCGAGGCCACGTCGTCGTCGGTTTGTGCTGCCCTCGACGGGCGAAGGTCGTCGCTGCCCCGGGAACCCCGCCGCACCCCGAAAGGGCGGGCAGGCCCGGGGGCCAGCTTCCGGGGGGCAGCGCTGCCCGCGCGGTGTGCCTCGCGAGTGCGGGCGGGCACGCACGGGAGGGGGCAGGAGGGACACCGGCACAGGGCCCCTGTGGTGAGGGAGCTGCTACTGCTCGGCGGCGAGCGAGCGGGGCCCATGCGAAGGAGAAGGCCTTCTCGGAAGGCGGCGGGGCCTCTCAGAGGCTCCCGCGCCTCTTCGGAGAGGCCTCCTGCGCCCTCGGGAAAGGATCTCGCACGGGTTCCCACGGAGGGCTCAGACAGATTCTCGGAAGGCCCGGGGACTTCCGAACCTTCGGAGGGCCCGCCCCTTCAAAAACTTCCTGCCCGGGCTCGCCACCGAACTGCCCGATGCGAGCAGGAATTATACTCCGCGTCGAGCGAGCCCCGCCAAAAAGAAAGCGCGAGGCAGGGTCCCCAAGAGGGCTGCGGGCCCCCCCTGGAGGCCTGGCAGCGGCCGCGGCGTGCAGTGGCCACTCGTCGAAGACGCGGGGCGGGATCCCCAGGGACCTGCAGCACACGTTCATTCGGTGGCAACTCATGGGGGCCTCCCATAACATCGTGTCCGCTCTTGCGACTCGACGCCCGTCGACGCCAAATCGACGTCCACCGACGCTAAATCGACGCCAGCCGACGCTAAATCGGCGCTGCTTCATCCACTCCCAGACGCTAATCGACGCTGGTCGATGCGAAAGGCAGAACTAAGACGGTAGACCAGGCTCCCATGATTTGCTACTGAGCTGTGGGCCTGGCGGCCGCGGCATGCAGGGTGTTGCGAGGCGGGTCGGGAGTCGTTGCTCGTCGTTTTGCTTGTCCGTCCCAATCTGACAACCCCGACCGGTCGGGGCAAACCTCGTCAGGGAACGACGCCGGCAGTGCGATGTGCGCCGCAAAACAGCGGGCACGCGCGGAGTGAGCTTCCTGGCAAGCTGCCTGGCAAGCCAGCGCCGACCGCGCGATGTGCGCGGCAAGCGAGCGGGACCGTTCGGAACGAACTTCCTGGCGTGCTTCCTGGCAACCCCGCCGGCACCGCGATAGCGGCCTGGAGCAAGCGGGCACGCTCGTAGTGAGCCTCCTGGCTGGCTGTATACCTGGCATCAGCGCCGGCAGCGCGGCGTGCGCTGGAAGCGAGTGGGCACGTTCGAAGTGAGCTTCGTGGCAATACCCGTGGCCACACGCTGGTTTGATGGGTAAATTTTCCACTGAGGCTACTGCATGTAGGACGGAGAGGAGCTCCTCCTCCTCCTCCTCCTCCTCCTCCTCCTCCTCCTCCTTCTACATATGGTAGTGGTGGTGGCGACTGGGCCAATCATGGTTGCCAGCCGCGAGCATGTACGCCTGGCGTGAGCTTCCTGGGCGCAGCGCTGCCCGCGCGATGTGCCCCCAAAAGCGAGCAGGCACCACCCAGCGAACCTCTGGCGGAACTGCCGAGCGCACGGGGCCCCCACGAGGCGCCCACGGCCAGCCACAGACCAGGTACCGACCAGCGGGCCCATCCCATTACCGACCGCCTGCTTGGGTAATTATCCAATTCTCAGCAAATGCATGCGCGTGTGCGCGCGCGTGCGTGCGCTCGTGTGTATCTGCCTGTTGCCTCCGCCCGGCCTACGCCACGCCGTGTCACTAATGGCCGCGACGCCAAGCAATGTGTGTGTGTGCGCGTCGTTCCGCGAAAACTTCCAAGGGATCCTCATACAATAATCGCGATGTTCACTGGACGCGGAGGCGGCAACGGCAAGAAGACTGGGGGTTGCGGGACACCGTTGTTTGCAGTGTCTCTGTATGAAAGGATAGGCTACGTAATAAAAGAACACCCGAACATACATGATTATGATTGCCATACGCAACACTCCCCGCACACCCTGGCCATTTCCTCCTAGTCGCCTCTTCCTTACATCCGCCCCCTTCCACCCTGAACCCCATTCTCATGATCTTCCGTACCTTGCCCTCCCCTCTTCTCCCCATTCTCTCTCCTCCCCCGTCATCTTGCTGCTGCGGTGCTACTACTATGAGTCCTACAACCACTACTACAACTACTATCACCACCACCACGAATGCTACTAGGTGAGTGGGCGTTCCGTAGCCTATGTATTCGACTGTGCGGTAAGGAAAAAAACACGTTCGGCCCAATGACGATGATGACGACGAGTGTACCTTCCAGAGAAATCGCATGTGAGCAACTGCTTCATCTTCAGCCCCCTCACGAATAATGTATTTGATTGTCCGACACAGCCTCCCACTGAATTCGTCGATCTTCCATGTGTTTCGTCAATCGACATTCATTAAGAATCGCGCCGATCCCAACTCCCTGAATAATTCCTCAATGCTCATTTCGCTAGTCAATCAGGAATCAAGCGGAAATGCGCTGATGCCAGCCGCCCGCAGAATTCCTGACATTCCTATGCGTATATCAATGGTGAGCAAAGTCATGTCGGCAATTGCTTTACATCCGACGGCTTTAAGTACTCCATTTGCATTTGCGAAATGGGCGCAATAGAAAATGCACCGACCCCAACTTCCAACAGAACTCTTGATGCTCGATGTGATTTCAGTCGGACTTCATTATGAAATTCATCGATTCCCAGCCTCCCGCTGAGTCAATGAGTCTTCAATTTGTTGATCTAGATCTATAAAGATTACATCGGAAATTCGCTGATGCCAGCCTCATGCAGAATTCTTGAATATTCGATTTGCTTCTCAATGCGCACGTCATCTCCAGTCCCCTCACAATCCATTATTTGCGCAAGTGCGCAGAACCAGCTTCCCGCACCATTCGTTACTACCCTGTTCGTTTCTCAATCAGAATACGATCGGAAGGGGCTCCAGAGGCTGACGAGGAAGAGGAGGAGAAAACATGGCGATTACGAAGTACGCAGCCGCAAGAGAGAGCCGCGAAATCTCACATGGATCTGTGCTGCCCTCGCTTCCGCCCGCGAAAACGGCGACGGCTGCGCAGCTCGCGGCCCCAAGAGGGAACCGCGAGGTCCCAAACGGACCTGCGCTGCCCTCCTCCTCCTCCTCCTCCTCCTCCTCCTCCTCCTCCTCCTCCTCCTCCTCCTCCTCCTCCCAGGAGACCACGAAAACGGCGACAGTTTTGCAGCTCGCACCCCCCATTGAGCCACGAGTTCTCAAATGGATCTGCGCTGCCCTCACCTCCGCCGTGACTCCCAGGAGCCCACGAAAGTGGTGTCAGTTGTGTAATTCGCAATCCCCCAGGTAGCTGCGAGGTCTCTCGGCTGGGTACGCGTACTCCCCCACTCCGCCCTGCCTCCCAAGAATCAACGAAAATGGCGACATCTGCGCGACCACCCGGGCAGCTGCGAGGTCTCTGCTGGTGCACGTGCTCCCCTACTCCGCCGTGCTCCCCAGGAGCCGACGCACGTGGCGACAACTGCGCCACCACCAAGGGAACCGCGAAATCTCGGCTGGGTGCGTGTACTCTCCTACTCCGCCGTACCCACGAAAGTGGCGGCGGTTGCGCAGTTCGCAGCCCTCAGCTGGATGCGCGTATTCCCTGACTCCGCCGTGCCTCCCAGGAGCCCATGAGAGCGGCGACAGTTTCGCAGTACGCAGCACCCGAGGGAGCTGCGAGGTCTCAAGCGAACCTGCACTGTCCTCTCCTCCGCCGTGCCGTTCAAGAGCCTACGAAAGTTGCGACATTTGCGCAGCCCGCAGCCGTCCAGGTAGCTGCGAGGTCTCGGCTAGGTGCGCGTGCTCCCCTGCTCTACTGTGACTCCCAGGAGCCCACGAGAATGGTGACAGTTGCGCAGTTCGCAGCCACCCAGGGAGCGGCAAAGTCTCCGGTGGGTGCGCGTACTCCCCTACTCCGCAGTGCCTCCCGGAAGCCTACAAACGTGGTTGCGCAGCTCGCAGCTCCCAGAGAGCCGCGACGTCTCGCCTGGTTCGCAGTTCGCAGCCATCCAGGGATTCGACGTCTCGGATGGGTGCGCGTACTCCCCCACTCCGCCGTGGCGACCGTTGCACAGTTCGCAGCCCCCCCAGAGAGCTGCGAGGCCTCAGTTGAATGCCCGTACTCCCCTGCTCCGCAGTGCCCTCCCGGCGCCCACGAAAGTGGCGACGGTTGCGCAGCTCGCAGCCATCCAAGGAGCTGCGAGGTCTCGGCTAGGTGCGCGTACCGTCTAGCTCCGCGGTGCCTGCCAAGAGTCCACGAGAATGGCGGTGGTTGCGCAGTTCGCAGCCCCGGAGGGAGCCACGAGGTCTCAAATGGACCTGCGCTGCCTCACCTCTGCCGTGCCTCCCCGGCGCCCAAGAAAGTGGTGAGGGTTGCGCATTTCCCAGCCACCCAGGGAGCAATGCAGGAGGAGGCAGGACAAGGGAGAGGAGAAGAGAGGAGAGGTGGGGACCACAATGCTCTATTCAAAACGAGAACATAAAAACAGGAGGGCTGGAACACACCCCCAACACACTCATTTTATAACTTAGCCTGCCTAGGGGTCGTCGGCCTGGAATTCCAAAATAACTG